TGCTAGTAACATTTGTTTGACCCCCCTTTTAAATATATACTTCTGTCATTCCAATGACTAATTACAAAAAACAAAAGTTGAAAACATACCTTAGAAAGTATTTTTCTAGCCGGCTAACATAAGCTGTCCATTTTGTTAAGATGCTTAGATCTAGGCATTAGAAGTATGTTTCCCTTTTCAAATTTTTTAGATATCTTTGTTATCATTAGATGAACAATGTTGAAAAGAAAAAAATGGTTTCGAGTTTGTAAAGGCTTAGATCTTGAAAGTCACCAAATGGATATTCTAGATTCATTATTAGAGAGGACTCATTTTAACCATATCTAGGATACAACTTGAATTTTATTTTTTTAAATATTAACTATTAGGATGAAGAGAGGGTATGTGCAATTTTGGGGGTCTTGCAAATGCTACAAACATGGTTTTTTAGAAATGTGGTGTCGTTATATTTCTATACAACCGTTACATGAACTAAGGGTAGTTTCTGAACATTACATATATAACTCAGATGGACAAGGAAAATAAGGTAGTTTCTGAACATTACATGCTCGATTTGGCAAACTTTATGACCTTTCAAAAGATGGAGCATGCAGCTTGACAGCATTGATTCACAAGGAACCCAAACATTCCAGGTCATAAGATATCTTTGGTCATTCCTAATAGGATTAATAATTAATTTTTTTTTTTTTAAAGAGTACTCAAAAGCATTGTTAATATTTCGAAACAAGCAATCAGGTGGAGACAAGAAATGGAGTCAAAGCACATAAGAAATGCCACAGGACATGTTGAATTCTCCTACATTTTCAGATACTATAATCTGAAAACAAGTAAATGATATAGTAAAAGAGAGGAACAAAAATAATTCGCAGAGAGAATCAACCATACACCACATCAACTGCATAATACTGTCAATTACATGTATGTGTGTATGCATGTATGGATGTGTGAGTGTGTGTCTATGTGTGTGTGTGCATATATATATATATATATATAATGTCTTTATGTATGTAAATTTGTATATGTAAGTATATATGCACATCTTTATGTATGTCTATTTCTATATATGTATGCATATGTGTGTTTGTATGTATGTATGCATGTAGGGGAATACATATATCTTTAAAAATATTTGTGGTTTTCGCACATGTGCATTCTTGGGGAATATTTTAGAATCAATATATAACAAGTGTCTTGGCTCATTTTACAGAGAAAAAAAAGGAACAAAGGGAAAAAGAAAGAAGAAGAAGCACCTTGGGTCACATTTTACAGACTAAGATCTCGTATTTGCCCAATACCTTGAGAAAAGACATACAGTCCCTCATCTAGTGGATGCATGATCATTTGAAGAAAATAGTCACAGGAGGTAAGATTTTTATATTTTTAAAATTGTTGAGTCATGCACTTGCATGATTAAGCCACAGACCTACAACTCGACACAACCCATTAACTAATTTTATAAGCTCAGATTGAGACCCAAGTCTCTATTCTATGGTGATGCAGTCCCAAAATGCGAAGCGGACTTATTCAAACCCCCACCCTTAATTTCCAAAAAAATTTATCTTCACACAACAGTCTAGTTCCCAACAAAAGATTTAAAGGAGTGTTCCACAAAACCATGCACATTTCATAAAACCACCTCTTACCATGTAAACGAAAAAAGCTTTCTCAAGAAAACTGTAAAGGAAAAAACCCTTGATCAAATAGCATGGTTAGCTCATAAAGTAATTACTTCGGTTAAATTCGTTTTGCCCATCACCAGGTAGGAAGACATCAACTCAAATGCAAACTCAGAAGGCTTATTTCCTTGGAATGTGCCAGGCTCACTGGCAGTTAGATGAGCATGGGAATACCAAACAATAGCTGTACTGAATTTAGTGCATTTTTAACTGGTTGATACTTCCAAGGAAATGATCCTGTAAGACCAGTTCCTAATGCATTTTTACAAGTCCTGATCCCGATTTAAAAAAAAAAAAGATTTCAAGAAAGGGTCCTGACCTCCACTCTCCATCCCCCACTATCACAGCCGGTCAATAACCTAAATGCGAATTAGCTTGGCTCATTGGATCATTATCCAATTTCATTGTTATTTTGCTGATTCATAGAAGCTGGATGAACCATAAGCACACTATATCAAAGGGTCATGCGCTTTAGTCAGTCACTGTGCTAACCCTCATGATACTTCTTAAGAACCTCAAAATTTTCCCCTTAATTTGAGCTAAAGATTGTTGGGTCAATCTTTTTTTTTTTTTGGGGGGAGGGGGGAAGAGATCCAAAACCCATTAGGTGGCTGGTGTAAGAAGCATGAGCAACCCAATGTAAAATGCATGATAAAACTGATAATTTGGGTAGTTTGGAAACTTCAAATCAATATTTTTTAACTCGGACTCGGCCCCTGGCCCACTCCACCGAGTCTGACTGAGTAGAGTACAGGGCCAAAAAGACCCTAAAAGATAAAAATTAAAAATTTATTTAAAAATAAAATAAAAATTATAAAATTAAAACAAAACCAAATTCAACATAAAAAGTCCAAAAAAGCTTAAAGAAATTTTTGATTTATGGTATGAGACATTCCAGAAAAATCCAAAAAAAAAAAAGATAAATATAAAAGTAGGCCATGTAACAAGAAAAATTCACAAACCATTGTAAAAGCTACAAAAACCCAAACTATGTATATAATTTTTATAGATGGAAAAGGTTTATACAAAATTACAGCTTTATACTATTAAAGTAAGATGCACCTCAAAAATCTGCAAAGAAGAGAGTGTTTTGACAATGGAAGACCCTCCAATCCATTATCATCTCGACCTCGAGATGCTTGGATACCAAACATAAGAATTTTCAAAATCCTAAAAATAGTGGATCTTATACAACAAGTATTTATAGATATATTTGATTTGTATTATTTTAAAATTTTTAAATTTTATAAATAGGAATACAAATAGAATTTCAAGCCATAAAGTTTCCTACACGGGAACTACATCTAAAAGCAAATTTTAGACATGTGTCTTACTTCTACAATATAAGGAGGGCAGCTTATACAAAACTTACTCACTATACATTGATTTGGCTTTTTTTTTTTTTTAAGTGGCCGGACCTCCGAGCTCAGCAAATAGTGAAGTCCTGGTAACTCGACCGAGTTCTTCGATCATTGCTCTTTGGATGCTAAAGAGTATTGATCAAATCGGAAAATAAAGAATGAGAATATAATAAAATCTAACAAAACTTAAATGACAGGTGAAGAATTAGTAATTTTAAGAGTCAGCCAAACCCATGAAAAAATACTATAATCAAATAAAAGAAAAAAAGAAGAAGAAATGGGGACCAAATAACAGAGCTGTAGCTGAAATTCGAACATCTCTCTCTCTCAAGCATCGCCATCGACCCACACCCACAAACTTTTCTTTTTACTCATCAGAAAATTTAATCTTTTTTCGTTTTCATTAAAGAGACCCATTATGCATAAACAGCAATTTAATCTTTTTTATTCAGAAAGTAGAAGACATTCATGCACAAATACTAGAAACACAGTGAAAGTTCACATGAAAGTCAAACACAATGAAAGCTCACATGAAAACAAAGATCCAACGGTCCAAAAATGATTGAGCGCATACCATGAGGATAGATAAAGGATGATCGGACGGCTCTCATTAGGAGAGAGGACAGTCCACGGGTACAGATCACCATAACTTGAGAAATAAAGGCCGGGAGGAAGGTGGTATTTTTGGGGGCGCAAAAAGACGAGTTTTCAGAGCATCGCCATTAACGGTTGATGCTGCGACCCTGCACTCTCTCTTGTGTACCACTGCGTGAGCTAATATAAATAGAAGAAGAGGTAATGAATGGGGAGAAGGGATAAGATTCCACGATTAGAGCGACTGACCAACTTTGAAAAAGGCCGGTAGAGAGAGAGAGTAAATTTGCTAGTGAGACTAAAATACCCCTGCATCGGTCAAAGGCAAGGACTTCAAACGTCCCAAAGACGGGTTGGGTTAAAAGAATGTGGTCCGTCGAAGATGGTAGGTGTGAAATTTTACTAAATTTTTTCATGAATCTTGAATTTGTTCTGCTCGGATTTACAGCCGAACCCAAATAATTTTTTTTAAAAAAAACTATAATGATAATACCCTTTTTTTTGTGGGGGCTGAGAGAAATGGTAAATCTATAATTTCAAGGAAACCCCATCCCAGAAATACACTTCGGCAAGAATTAGTATTTTTTTATCTATTTTTAAGGAAAAAATATTGCCCCCTCTTGTTCATGATGGTACCCCCTTGAGTAATTTAGAGAGAATGAGTGGAATGGGCGTGAGAAGAGACTGAAAGGGCATGTATAAAGCTGGAAATGGGTCAGGCCGACCCAACACAGACCTAGAGGCCACGCTTGGTTTGGATGCGGTGAAGAAGCCCGTTATCTAAGCTATGGGCTTTTAAATGAACAAGGCTGGGGTGGGTTTGGAATGGGCCCAAAGCTGGGCAGTTAGTGTGGTAGCGCGCCACCGTATGGTGGTATTTAGGTCTATTCCTATCACGGATAGAAGATCTCTTCCCCCTTCAATGACTCGAAAACAGTTCGGGGGGCGACCTATTAAAATATATCTTACTCTTAATGTTCAACTATTTAACGTTTGTTTTTTTCCTACATCAAAATCATAAGCATTTGATTGGGCATTTTGAAATTACATTGAGGGTAAATAACAAGGGAGGGGTTTGTATAGAGCCTAGGCTCTAAGCAATCAAATTAGAGCCTACTTTCAAATAGTATCGAGAAATATAGTTTTAATAATGGAAATCTTTGTGATAGCTTTAAAATATATTTTTATTTTTATTTATAAAAATTAAAACTTAAAAAATATTGTAAATTGATCGATTTATGAAAATCTTGAAAATTGACGGTCCAAAAATTCTCTACAAAATACATTTCTTTCAATACTTGAAATTTATTTTTTTCTCATGTCCATCTATCTTGATGTCGAGATGATCAATTTGAAGATCAAAACAACATCTTCTAGTAAAATTTGTGAGGTAGGCTCTAATTTGATTGTTTAGAGCCTCGACTCTATATAAACTTTTCCAAATAATAAATATGCCCCAAATTGGACTTTTTAGGCATGCCCCTTCCAACATTTTTGAAATATATTATTTATTTTTACAACCACTCTCGTCCACTCTCGTAAGTAAAATAATTAATTTTTATTGATCAAAATACCGTCTATTTTCTAGATAACACTATCTGACATTGTTTATTTTTTCATCCACTCAGTTAATAAAAGAGTTGACCGTTATTGACCATAATACCATCATTTTAACCCATGCTTCTCCCTTTTTCTCTCCAGGACAAAATTTCAATATCAAAAGCTGTTTCGACACATTCACAAGGCAAATACATTTTTGTGTCGGTTCGGAACATGTTGGGCATCAAATTTAAAAAACATGAGATAAAATGGAAAATATTTTAATAAAAAAAAATCGACTTTTTGGTTTGGAAGAATGGTTTAAAAAATAAACACTTAATATTGTTAATATTGTGGTGTCTAATGGATAAATAGTTCACACATTCGCAACTATTCGATTTGATATTTGAAAGACAAGAATGATTTTGACCTATACGTACTAAAATATGTATTTTCCTAAAAATAATGATTGAACCAACCACCGGGCCAAGAATTCACGCCCAAAAGCCCTACGATTCAAAAAAGAGATGACATTCGTACACTACTGAAAACACAGTGAAAGTTTACTTCAAAAAATCAAAATATCCAACGATCAAGAAATGCTACGCAACCATGAAGATAGATTGAGGACGATCGGACGGATCTTATGAGGAGAGAGCGGGTCCCCATGGCCATAGCTTGAAGAGAGAGCATCACCATTAAGGCTCTATCCTGCAACTCTGTACTCTCTCTTTGACCTTGTGTCTGCCCTATAAACAGAAGAAGCAATGAATGGGGAGAAGGGATCAGGGCTAGATTTCAGATTAATCACCAAATTTAAGGTGTAGAGAGAGAATAATTTTTCAAGTGAGATTAAAATACCCCTGAATTATTTTCGAACAAATAATATATTATATGCTTTTTTTTTTTATAGTCCTGCCCCTAAATATTGGTGAATTTATACTGTCACCGTTTTTTTTTTTTTTCGCTGAAGCAGGTAAAAGCTATAAATCCATCCCATAGGAGTTTAGTCAAAGTTTGCAATTTTTTACTTATTTAAGCGGAACTATAAGAGCTACGCATGTGGCAACTCCTGCTCACGACATTATTTCCTTATCAATTGAGAGAGAATGGGGAGACATGAGAAAGAGAGAATCAAGAAAAGAAGTATATATTGTGTACTGGATTAATATAAAAGGTATATATTTATATTATGTATATTTAGGAAAGATATGAATAATATCTTGTATTTATATTAAATTTAGTATATTATAGGAAATTATATCAATTGAGAGAGAGTGGGGAGACATGAGAAAGAGAATCAAGAAAAGAAGTATATATTGTGTACTTGATTAATATAAAAGGTATATATTTATATTATGTATATTTAGGAAAGATATGAATAATATCTTGTATTTATATTAAATTTAGTATATTATAGGAAATTATAATTTATTTCTTTATTTTCTCATCCGTAATTTATCTATGGTGTAGTTGGCATACGGATGCATCCGTAGATGTAGAGGTAAGGTGCACCTTCAAATTTTATCATGGTATATAATTTTGATATAAAATGTTTTTAGGATTATCTCAAAAATCTAGTTTTATATCTAATTATAAACTTTAAAATTTCAAAAATAGTTAAAATCAAGTAGATCTATAGACATATGAAAATATTGAAAATGGACGGTGTAGATAATATGTTGTAAAATGCACTATTTTTTAGACTTAATATCTTTTTATTTTTCATAGTCATACATCTCGATGTCGAGATGATCAATCAAATGGTTTTTGAACATTAAGACTATTTTTTTCGATGGATTTTTGAGTTGCATCCGTAGTTCTACATTATAAGG